AAAAAAAAACTGAATATATATATATTTTTTTTAACTCCATAGAAAGACATTAGTTTACATAAAAGATTTTCTTGTCAAAATCAATTTATTTCTCCCAATTTAATTTAATTTTTTTCTCTCCTCCCCACATTTTATCTTTTATATACTTTATAAAAGAATAAATATTTTATTATTGAATGACATCCTATGATGATATTAAGCACAGTTTTATTTATTTATTTATTTATTTATTATTTCTCAGAGGCTCTCTCCCTCTGTGAATATAGGGACGATGCATCAATTCTGTCTCCTGAAAATGGGGAAAAAATAGGAGGAAAAAAAATAATAATAACAGCAGAAAGACGTTTCCTGTGATGTAATCAGTGTTTACTGAAGTTTCATTAGAACATCATAAACTTTTGTTTGTCATAAATTGCACAAGTATGAAGAGAGAGAGAGAGAGGGGGGGGACTTGGAGAAGATAAATCGATACCATCACGTTTAGGGCGTTATTACACTAAATTTCTGTTAAAACTAACTTACAACATTAATGTCCTTATAAATTATCACGAAATAAAAAGAAAACCGGCGACACGATGGCCATTTTTTAATTTTTTTGAGAAATACAGATGAAATCGTCGTCATTTCTCGACGATAGATGGCGACACGGGTATAAATGGGATAAATTCGCTTTTAAAAATCGCGGGAAGGTTATAAAATCTCCTTTTTTTTAAATTCTTTAAGAGAAAAGGTAGAGGATTCGAATTAACATGGAAAACGTTAACGAGGGAAAGGAAAGAATGAGAGAATTAATGTAAATGAAGTGAAGGATGGATGCTGCGGAAAACTGTCTTCTTCATCAATTTATCATTAGTCTGGTGATCGCCGTAGTGGAAACGATATTACTCTCGGTAAATCAAAGTTACTTCTACTCGTTACGCATTTAATAAATTATGATTGGCACCGGGTATTATCCGCAGGTCACGTGATGGGATGCGGATCAAATTTTACGATTGCGTAGAGGATGAAGACGGGAAAAAACTCCTTAAGCATCCTCACTGCTGTTTTATAACTTGATAAAGTTTTAAAATCGTCTCCGGGGTGGGCCATTAGGTGTTAAATTCCAGAATTTTAATAGATAATTTACCCTAGAAGAGATGCACGCGCAATTATCACTCCATAATCACGTTAATGGAAGGGGGTAGGAGGAGAAAATCGCAATTTAAATAAAGTAAAACGAGAGTTTTCTTAACGTTATCTCGTTTACTGGAGACGTTTACACGTGTGTTACACGAAAAGGCGAGGAACAAATTGTTGCTTTGTATGCATGCAAATCCGCTTAAATCTGAGGAAATTTAAATTGGGTGGGGGGGGGAGGAAGCGGAAGGGAACTTTTGCTCAAACGTCGCGTGGTTGATGAGTGTGTTATTTTCGTCATTTCCGGTCGAGCGATGACGTTGAATAAGCAGAAACCGAAGAAAATTTAACAGACTGATGATGATGCTTTTGGCTTGAGAAATCTGTTGATCCGGATGTTTATGTTCACAAATGATAATGTTTTGATTCCTGATGCGGTTTGTACTTCCGCATTAAGGCGTGAAAACGAATTTTAATAAAGTTTCATCCGATCTACCTTTACTTAAATAAATTTTGAATAAAATATACTTTTAATTCTTACATTTTTAAAGCATTTTCAATGTAAGATGTGCGTGCTCGCTGCTCTTCAACATCTTTGTATACTTAGTTAATTAAATTTACATTTTAAACATTAAAAACTAGTTTAATTAATGAGTTTTTAAAAAAAAAATTATAATTACTAAATTTAATCTTTAATTTTTATATTTTAAAAGTATTTTCTAAATAAGATTAAGATGCTGCAAGGGTAAGATGCTCGCTACTTCTTATCATCTTTGCATACTTAGTTAATTAAATTTAAACATTAAAAAAAAACTAGTTTAAATTAATAAACTGATTTATAATTCTATTAATTGAAATTAAAATAATCATTAATTAAACTATTTTTTAATGTTTAAAATGTAAATTTAATTAACTAAGTATACAAAGATGCTGAAGAGCAGCGAGCATATATTACTTGTAAAATACTTTGAAATACTTTTAAAATATGGAAATTAACGATTAACTTAATAAACTCATTTATTATTTGATTAATTACGATAAAAATTACTAATTGATCTTTAATTTCTATATTTTAAAAGCATTTTAAAGCATTTTCTAAGTAAGATATGCTCGCTGCTCTTCAGCATCTTTGCATACTTATCTAATTAAATTTATATTTTAAAAATTAAAAAAAAATTAGTTTATTTAATGATTTTTTTATTGTAATTAATTACATAATAAGTCAGTTTTAACAAATTAATCTTTAATTTCCATATTTTTTAATCGTTATAAACAGGAAGGATTGTAAGAGGAGAGAGGAGTCGGAGAACGAATTATTAAAGCTGAAATTAGAAAAATAAAGAGATGGGATATGAAAAAATGTATTGTAATGAAGGGAATAGGTATGAAAAAATATATTACTTCATCTATTAAAGCATCAATTCACTCATTAGTCGAGCAATCGTCCGTTAAAGCGTATTATACAAGGCTCCAAGAAAGGAAAATTAAAGTGGAGAAAATCGAGTAGAAGATAAACTTTAATCCGGATTAAAAAATTACATCCATTAATCTCTGCTTTAATCTAAGATTTAAGGATAAGAGATAGAGAGAGGAAAAAAAAAAGAATAGGGGAGGGATATTTAACGGGAGGAAATTAAATTCGTTAGAGGGAGATCTGTATTCTTGACACTTCTGTTTGGTTGCAGCTAGCATTAGTGTGGGGAAATTACTGCCGTTAACGCAAGTAATGGGTTAAGGAGCTATTTGCAAGGATTACCTTGGAAATTGTTATAGTGGACAAGAACAAACTGCCACTTTCTGCTGGAAATTTTCAGGGGGAAAAAATAAAAAAAAATAATAAAATAATAAATTATTAAAAGCACTTACTAACTATCTCCTTGAGAAAAAGGAAAGGAGGAGGAGGAGGAGGAGGAGGGAGATCGAGTTTGATTTAATCTAAAATCGAAATTTGAATAAATTTCCTGGGATTAATGATGAGTTTTCGGAGATTTTTAAGAGGAATTGGTAATTATTTTTCATCGTAAAATAAAAAAAATAAATGAGGAAAGTTGTTAAAGTGAGCTTCTTATGGCTCCAAATTGTCAAGCTAATCTATAAATTGCTGGATAATGCCTATGCACGCTCTTTTATACTCATTTGTTGTAGGTGTATTCGTTAATGTATGGTCTGTTAAAAATATTGTATGGTAATTTATACGAATTTTTTTTTCGTCCGCCGTTTAGAGGTGGCCGTTGTTGAGAGGTTGCCGTTAATAGAAATTCAATTTTATTTATTTATAAACATATTTACACAATTTATAATCGTCTATACAATAATACAAAGTACAATTCTGCATCTAAAGTGGAAGCGGAGAAAGGATAACGAAGAGCATCATCTCTCATCTTCAGCATCAGTTGTACTGAATATTACTTATAATTGATTTATTCTATGAGTTTGTAACCGTTACACAGCTACAATTAATGCGTTTTTTATTAAGAAAAAGTAATTAAAAACTGGATCAAATCTCTGAATAACGTCCGCTGAAAGGAACATAAAAAGTGGCCGCCATTTAGAGGGAGGCCGTCGTTAGAAGGTCGCTGTAAATGGAGGTTCGACTGTATATATATATTTTTTAGCATATTTCCATAATATATGCTCGTATACACAACAATACAACGTACAATTCCGCATCTATAATCTATAGTACAAACCTCGCTGCATTTGTTTTCTTAACAAAGTCTAAGGTGCACACACATTTTAACTACCTGATAACCCTCCTACTAGGCAAATTTACAATGATTTTGCCTTGATAATCGTCTTAGATATCTTAAGAATGGGACAGAAGGATCACCTAATTCCTTAGACAAAGCTCTGGATCACGAGAGTCGCATCATCTTAAGACGGATGTAGCATCTTCCAGCATCCACGTAACTCTTTCTCATCTTCTAAACTAGGCACGAAATCAGTAATACGGTCCCAAAAATGATTTAATCTTATATTCGATAATTCCCCTTTTGACCATTTAATCGAGTCACAGCAGTTAATTAAGCGATTAGTAAGGCCCTAAGTAAAGCAGATTAACAACAGTGATTAACAGTTAATTAAAGGGTTTAATTAACTAACAAACTTGGCCCTAATTCGCCTTTATTAATGTAAACCGTAAGGTACTTTAATCATATTTATAGATTTCGAATAAAATTTATTAATATATAAACAATTAAAACGTTCGATAGATGCTCTCTCTCTTCCTCTCCATCTCCTTTCGACTTTTGAGCCATTAAATATTTATTTTCTCGAATAATTTACTATTTTAAATATTAGAAACAAAGTTTAATTTGTTATATCGATTCGTATTTTCTCATTAAATTTACTAGTATTTGTTTATTTTTAATTTAAATATATTTTTCATGAGAAAATCCTGTTGATCCCCTCCTCCTCCTCCATGGGAAAGAGAAAGAGGATGAGGAGGAGGAGGGAGAAGTTGAGGGAGAAGAAGATGAGGGGAAGAAGGAGAAGAAGGGAGGAAAAGGAAGAAGTAGGGAAGGAAATGGAGAGAGAGTAATGTGGGAAATATCACCTTTACACAATATTTTTTTAATATATAATAATATTAATTCTGTAGATATGTATAGCGTGCATTTAAGTCATTTAATATATAAAAGGTAATTCTTAACAGACAAGTCATTAATAAGACTTAAGACCTCTTCTTAGTGGTAATTCGTTTAGTAAATCGAGTATTGGATTTCCATTCGGTTAGACTTTAGATAATGCCTTTTTCTTCTTGATTTTTTTTTTCTGAAAAATTTGCCATTTTTCTTTATTTATTTATTTAGTTTTATTCGTCTTCGATCGAAAGATCGCTTTTTGAATTTTAAAAATACTTTTTTTTTTTTATGTTAGCAGGGGAATAAAAGGGGATGATGTTCGATGACGTAACAGAATGTTGAAATCTCCTTCTGTTTTACCCCCAATAGACCGTTCTCTTTCAACATTTCTCTTCGTACTTTTATTCATTTTGATTCTCTTGGCTATTTTTCTGCATTATTTTACCCCCATTTTTTATTTGAAAATCGTATTTGAAGTACTTCTATATATATAAATCGTCTTGTTCATTTTTTATCCTATATAAATGACTTTGTTTTAAAAAATATATATATTTTAATTCTTCCCCAACATAGAGAAATTTCCTGGTGACCTTTGAACTTGGCACAGGGTGACAAAAACCTTAAATTATATGAAATAACTTGAATAAATTTATTTTAATTAGCTCATCATCTTCCTTTCTGATTTTTCTCAAGTTTATTTTGAAAGTAAATTATTATAAAATACAGTCAAACCTGTGAATAACGGACACTGACGAAAACATTAAAATGGCCGTTGTTTCCAGGTTATTTTGTATTTAGTATTTAATTATTGTGTAGTTTTGTTTTGTGTTATGTATGCGTTTTAAAAGTAGTATTCAGGAGAAACGGTCGCCGTTTAGAGGTGGCCGTCATTAGGAGGTTTGACACTATATTTTTTGAATTCATTTACATAATATGTACTCATTTACGTAATAATATAACATACAATTCTTTATCTAGAATCGAAGCAAAGAAAGGATAACGAAGAGCATTAGCATCCTCATCTTCAGCATCAGTTCAGCTTGCTTATAACTGATTTATTACACAACTCTACAATTGTTATAGAGCTATAGTTAATGCATTTGTGATTAGGAAAACAATTGTAAATTGAGCCCAACCTCTGAACAACGACCATTGATTCGAACATAAAAATGGCCGTAGTTTAGAGATGTCCGTTGTTGGAAGGTTGTTATTAATAAAGGTTCGACTTTATATATATATATATTTTAAACATATTTACATAATATATACTTATTTATTTAATAATTCTGCATCTAGAATCGAAGAGGAGAAAGGATAACGAGGAACATCACTTCTCATCTTCAGCATCAATTGTGATTTAGCTTGCTTACAACTGATTTATTACATAACTTTATAACTGTTAGAAAGACAGAATTAATGCAAATTCGATCAAGGAAACGTCGAAAAATCGAGCCGAAAAAAGGTAATTACGAAATGAAAGATATTCTACAATTAAATTAATCATCTTTGGTGATCATCAGCATCACTTTTGCTACCTTGAAAGGAAGGGGGAATTAGTTAGATAATCGACATAAATTTCGTCTAAAATAACGCAGTTCGAAGTGAATCAGCATTTTGAAAAAGTTCTCCAAACGTATCGATAAGGGAGTGATTAATGAGGGAAGCAAATGATGCTGTCCAGCACTTTAAAAAAAAAAAAGAGAAGGGGGAGGCCAAAAAAAGTGCCAAAAACTGCACGTTTAAGCCATTCGTACAGGGAACAAAGATTGATAATGTTCAAACACGCGACATGGCTTAAGTTAATGCTGCATATAGATCTTGATAAAGCAGATATTAGTACAGGTTACGTTTCCTTGTAGATAGCCAGGTTTATTTATATATTTTAATCTTTATCTGACAATATTAAAAAGAGAATTACTAATTTATCCTCTTTTATAATTTTTTTTAATATCTCTTATCGTTCAGATTGGATAGATTGATAGCCAAAGTGTTTATTCACCCGATTATCTCTTCATAACTTTAATTATTAAGAAATTCTCAACGAAAAGAAAGAGTAAAACTAAAACCAGAACGTTATTAAATAACTTTAAATTAATTTAAAATTCATCTGACAGTTCTAGAAGCATCGAACCGAGTTTAAAATAACGTAAACAATGTTCTAGTTATCCAATTTTCTGCATCATCTTCTTCTTCTTCTTCCTTCTCCTCCGGATGCGAGAGGATAGCATCTCTCTCTTCTCCATCCTCTTTCTCTTTAACTTAGTCATTCCGATATCACCTTAGTTAAGTAATAAATTTCAAAAAAATGCAAAACGTTATCTGATTGGTCGAATCGTTGGAAACAATGACCAATAACTTAAATGTACGTAGTGAAGCGAAACTTAGAAATAACTTTTACATTTTCCTAGCCATTGATTCGTTTATCGTAAACTTTCTGATCCGGGACCTTCAATTTGTCATAAGTCAGGCGAAGTAGTAATGCCGACTGAAGACACACACCGAAGAAAAAAAAAAAAGTCGGGGGGAAGAGGAGGAGGAAAAGGGGGGAGAGCCGGACAGCGAGGAATGATGGGAAATTTCGCATCGCCGCTTCCAAACTGCATTCTGTCTTCAAATATTTATGATTTTTTCTCAGAATCTGCAGCTTTGGAATTACTTCCTTCTCTTTTTTTATATTTTACTTCTATACTATAATATATTATTTCCTCGGTTTCTTGTTCTACGTCATAAGTTTTTGTTAAGTAGCTATTTATTTATTTTTTTCTGACAGTTTCCTTACAAATATTTTTCTTCTCCAGACTTTGGACATTCTAAACGTAAACTAGCATCCTGAAGAAATTTCAATAAAATTTGGATATTTTTATATTCGTTTCTTTATATATATATATTCGAGCTTTTTTTTCGTCCCACTTCTTTATTTGCATTTCATATTTTTTCTATTTATTAATGTATAAGAACATTATTTACTTCCCTTGCTACAGGATGCTCGTGGAAAAACTTACGTAAGATAAATTATTTAAAATATATAAAACACTATTATCAATATTTAAAGAAAGAAAAATAACATATTTTTTTAACGATTAAAATAAGTAAAATCACTAATATTATACTTAATAAACTCAATTCATCTTCCACATCATCCGCATCCCTAGTCTTGGGATGCGGATCTAATGGATTCGATAATCAGATTTATTAGTCTATATTTGATTTGTAAAACGTTATATACTTTAACATAAATCAAAAATTAAATATTATCGAGATAATTATTAAGAATTAATAATAATAATAATAATAATGATGATAAATTAATTGTAATGATGATGCGGATCTTTGAGATGCGAGAGGAATATTTATCTTAAAATAGCTAATTTATTTTTAATTTTTAATACGTTAAAGGTTACTAAATACTTTAAAATAGATAAAAAAATTCTGTATATTTTAAAAAATAATCATTAAAAAAATAAAAATAATAAGTTAATTTTTTAAAAAAATGATGCAAGACATCGGGATCTTAAAATGGATAATTTACATTCGTTCTATGTTACTAAATAGCTTATCTGTACTTTAAAAGAGATAAAATTCCGTATATTTTAAAGGTAATTATTGATAAAAAAAAACATTATAAATTACCTTTAATAACTCCTGTATAAAATTAAAATTTAATAAGTTAAATTTTAAGCTGTTGTAAGTAACGATAAACATCATATATTTTATTTTATATATATATATATTTTTTTTTTTTGAAGATAAAAAAAAAAACACTACTTTACTTTCAATTTTTAATACGTAGAAGCATCATGAAGAAGCTATTATCCATATTACAAGAATATATTACTTTCAAAGGCTATCATCCAACGTTATTACTTTGAATTTCGACTGGTTACAGATTTATATTCTATAGAAAGGAAAATATTTTTAAAAACTTTATTCAAATCAATCAAATCTAAGAACCAATCAAATTTGTTTCAGCTGTTCTACTTTCTCTTAATTTTACTATCAAGAATTTTATATATTGATTAATCTAGTGACTTTGATTCGATATTTTCTATAGGAGAGAGAAAGAGAGAGAGAGAGAGAGAGAGACTACAAATTTATTATTATTTTTTTTTTATTATTTTCTTAAAGAGAAATGTCAACTCAATTTTGTAAAATTACTACATTTTTATCAGATTTAAGCTTAGGTTTATTTTCTTCTTCTTCTTCTTTTTTTCTTCCTTGATTTTCTCTTCCAGATTTCTTCAGATTCCTTTAAACTGAATTTGTTGTCTTGACAAGTGGATTTACTTTCTTGGTTCCTAGATAAAAATTCCTTTGCTTTTATTGACTATCCAATGACTTTACTAGTTTTTTTATAAGTAAAATCTATCGATAGGTCTCTAGATTTGCAAACTAAGTCGTGGGATACAGCAATTATTATGTTCTATTCTCTTATTCTATAAAGTAAAATAATAAAAAGGAGCATCCATTTTAAATTCTTATCGATCTTTACTTTACTTACTTCAATATAAAATCATAAAATTTCGATTTGATACGGTCTATCGATATATATATATATTTTTNTTATTAAAAAAAAATATATATATTATTTACACTCGAGTAAAATTAAAATATGTAATGTAATATTAAAAAATATACTTTATAAATTTTTAATAAAAGTAATAATAATATTTTTAGTTTGTCTGTAACACTGTATTTCGTGATACTGAATCGATGTGGGTGATGCGCCTTTTGTTTAAAAATGGCGGCCGTAGATAAAGCATGACGCCTGGTAGAATAAACTGTTAATGATTTAATAATTTCTTTTGAAAAGTGTAAAAATTTATACAAATTATATTATTGGGTTGCAATTTAAAAAAATTGTAAACCTATAAATTCCCACTGTCTGTCTTTTCTTTAACTCGAGAACGGAGTTAGACAGATGAAAGACGAAACCAGATATAGAAACCTTATGGGCGGGAAGCCCCGATTAACTATATATAAAACTTCCGGTGCAAACCGGAAGTCACGTTATATCAATTCAAAACTTATCCCCTGAGTGCAGTTAATAGATGACTGGCACGACTCTATCGTTAAAGGAAAAGTATGATATACAGGGACAAGCCACTACTAATTTGAGATGGAGAGCGTATATTTTAAATTAAATTAAAAATATGATTAAAAATTGCAACGCGGCATTATGACGGTGTCACAAATAAATAATTGCTCGTTTATCTTCGTAAATTTTATTTATACGTTAATAATAAAGAAATTTAACAACGTTTCGTTTTATTCCATTTATCTTAAAGTATTTTTTCTTCACTCCCGTTCCTTTCTTGTTTATTAAAATATATATATATATATATTTTACACTCGAGTAAAATTAAAATCTGTAATATTAAAAAGCATATTTTATAAATTTTTAATAAAAGTCATAATAATAATAATATTTGTTTTGTTGGTAAAACTATATTTCGTGGCACTAATGTCGATGAACCTTAATATTAACGCCATTTTGAAACAAAATGGCGTCCTTACATAAAGAACTCCTCCTAGCGGAATATAAAGTTAATGATTCAATAATAAATTTTAAAAAAAGCGTACAAAACGATAAAAATTTTAATTTTTTATTTATAATTTAACAGTATTAAAATTTAAACAACGTTTTGTTTTATTCTATTTATTCCAAAGTTCCCGTTTATCTTAACGCATATTTTCCCCAGTCCTGTTCCTTTTTTTCTTTAATAAATTTCTCTATTTTAATATGTCATATTAAAAAATGTACTTCATAATTTTTAGTAAAATAAAATAATAATAATAATAACAATTTTAGTTCGTTTATAACACTGAAACGATATCGATGAACTTTTCATACAGCGCCATTTTGTTTTAAAATGGCGGCTGTAGTTAAAGCACGCCGCCTGGCGGAATATACAGTATTCAATATTACGTTTGTTTTTTTTTTAAATAGCGTACAAAACTGCGCAAATTTTATTATTTATTTTCTTAAATTTTAATTTTTTTTGTGTGTACGAGTTAATAATAAAGAAGTTTAACAACGTTTTATATAATTTAAACACACAAAAAAAAAGGGTGGAAATGTGGCTGGCGCCATCTGTCGCACGGATCTTATAACCGATTTTTCTAAAATACAGATCGGTAGTCAAAGGGAAGTTACTCAATTGAACGGGTTTCCCGTTCGGGACAGGAAATTTCATTTGGACTCTTGTAAGCTTATTTTCTTTTTGTAAGAAGAGAGATAAAGTCAGAATGGAACAGATAAATAAAATTCGAAAAGGTGGATTGATTGTAGACGGGTTCCTTGCATTACACACTGCAAAAGCTTGGTCAAATGCGATTTGTAAAACGGAATTTCTTCACTTAAAAATCGTTTCTGGAGAAAATAAAGTTTTCTAAACTACTTTATTTTATTTTATTTTTTTTCTCCTCCCCCTCTCTGTCCACTTTATTGAAAAATATAATTTTTTTTTTTTTATTATTCTTCTCCTTTGGCTTCTACCGAATTCGCATTAAAAATCAATTTTAACAGCTGGAGGTTATAATACGATTAGTTTTTCTCTCTTGGAACGTATTTTAAATCGATGTTCCTTCGATAATTTACTTTAAAATTTGTAAGGAAAAAAGGAAATGATATAAAATAAAACTTAATTTTTCCATTTATTTTAACGCATTTACTTTTTTCCTTTCCCGCTCCCTGTCTCTTTTTTCTTTCTTTCTTCTTTTTCGTCTGTATTTACAAAAAAATTTTCTACGATAGAAAAAAATTAAAACAATATAAAAAATACACTTTATAAATTTTTAATAACAATAATAATAACATTGTTAGTCTGTCTGTCATTCTATATTTAGCGACACGATAACGATGTCGATGAACCTTTCATACAGCGCCATTTTGTTTTAAAATGGCGGCTTCAGTTAAACCACGACGCCGCCTGGTGGAATATTTGTTATTTATTTATTTAACTTTTTAAATATAAGAAATGTATAAAAATTATTTATTTTCGTACACCCTTATTGTATATTTGTAATTTAGGAGTAAAAAAATTTAACATTGTTTATTTATCTTAGCGAATTTACTTTCCCACTCCCGTTCCTCGTTTATTAAAAAAATATATATATTATTTACACTCGAGTAAAATTAAAATATGTAATGTAATATTAAAAAATATACTTTATAAATTTTTAATAAAAGTAATAATAATATTTTTAGTTTGTCTGTAACACTGTATTTCGTGATACTGAATCGATGTGGGTGATGCGCCTTTTGTTTAAAAATGGCGGCCGTAGATAAAGCATGACGCCTGGTAGAGTAAACTGTTAATGATTTAATAATTTCTTTTGAAAAGTGTAAAAATTTATACAAATTATATTATTGGATTGCAATTTAAAAAAATTGTAAACCTATAAATTCCCACTGTCTGTCTTTTCTTTAACTCGAGAACGGAGTTAGACAGATGAAAGACGAAACCAGATATAGAAACCTTATGG